CCTTGGGCAAGCATCATGCACAGACTCTTGTCTACATGAGAAAAGTGTTTACCTGGGGCATGTTTGCAGTTAAGAATCTTAAAATAAATTGCCACCAACTCCAGGGGAAGTGAGGCTAAGAAAATGTTTTCCTAAATTTTTGCCACTCTGACACTTTTTGAGTATAGCTGACACAAAGTGTTCCATTAGTTTCAGGTGTACAACTTAGTGATATGACAAGTTTATGCATTATGCTATGTTCACCACAAGTATAGCTACCAACTGTCCCATTACGTTGCTGTTACAATATCATTAACTGCAGTCCTTAGGCTCTGCATTTTATTCCTGTGACTTACTCATTCCAAAACTGGAGGCCCATATAGCTCTCTCCCCCTTACCCATTTTGTTCAAACTCCCATCTCCCTCCATTTTAAAGATTCTAAGGATCAACCCAATTAGAACACAACTCTAGTTGTAAAACAATAGGAGACCAAGAAGGTAGGACAGCTGCTGTTGTAGATTTCTTTATAGATGACAAATGTAAAGTATAGCATTTAATTGACACAATATAATCTCATTTATTCAGTTATCATGTACCTAGATCTACAGTTAATCCAGGAAATTCTGCTACTAGTTGGTATATGAATGACTCCATTTGCACATACAGGTTTCAGTTTATTGTCTTGAAATTTTACACAGACTAGAAAGGTCTCAGGGTGTTAGTGACAACTTCTGAATATACTAAAATCTCCAGCTCCCTTCTTATGCAGAATATATCTCTCTAGAATTTTCACTGCTTACTTTCAAACCAGTATGCCTAGATATAATATACTCTCTACAAGTAAATAAGACACCACCAATTTCATGTAGCTGAGTCCACTGTAAAAATCAAAATCAACAATTCAAGTATTTTTACTCTGGGGTTACAATACACAAAAATATATAATTCCTTCTGGAAGTACAATATGATTTTAAAAGCAAAACTAATTAAATATCTTTAAAAATACACTTTATATAAAATTTAATGCCATCTTTTTCAACCAAGACTGAGAGACTGTGTTTTAGTAAAATACCTAAAACGAAATGTAGGTATACACCACTTGGTCAGGCTTAGAAATCAGTGATTTTGTAGCAGTATGCTATTTGTGGAAAACATTATGATATAAAACACATACATACACACACAAACACACACATGTGCATGCACACACACACACACATTGGGCTGGGACTCCACAGATTTAGATTCTTGTTAAAGCTCTGCCTAAGGGGTGCCTGTGTGGCTCAGTGGGTTAGGTGTCTGCCTTCAGCTCAAGTCATGATCGTAGGGTCCTGGGATCGAGCCCCGTGTTGGGCTCCCTGCTCATCAGGGAGCCTGCTTCTCCCTCTTCTCCTGGCTCATTCTCTCTCTTGCTATCTCTGTCACTCTCTCTCTCAAATAAATAAATAAAATCTTTAAAAAAATGGCTCTGCCTAAGATTCACTGCATATTACCCTGGTCAAGTATAGTTTGGTGATTAAGAGTCAAAACAGACTTATGTTTGAATCCTGACTGTGACATTTTGTCGTTGTGTGGCCCCAGGGAAGTCAACTACTTTAAGCTACAGTTTTCTCATTTGTAAAATGAGAAGTAATACTAGAAACCATCTCATAGGGATGTGGTTAGATTTAAAGGTGAAAACATATATAAAGTTGTTAGTATAATGCCTGGTATTAAGTGCTTAATAAATATTAGCATTTATTAATTCTGCTAAGCTACTTCACTTCTTTAGACTTCAGCTTCCTCATATGTAAAATGGAAGGATTGGCTTGTCATTACAAAATCGCTTCCAGATCAAACTAAAACTTAAATGAGAAAGTCCAATGCCATCTTCTCATTCAGACAGGAATTGTAAAATAAACCTTAAAACATGAATACCACATGCTTATTTTTTTATATTTTATTTTAAGCTTTCTAAAATGGGCAACATATCCCTAATCATTACATTCTATCTAGAGTATCCAACCTTTGAACAGTTTAGTCTATTGGTCTACATGTAAATGTCTAGTAAGTCTTATTAATTACTATGAAATGGCTACAAGCTAAAACACTTTGAGGGAATTTGCATAATGTAGGTAATAAGAGAAAAAGTCAAGGATAAAAGATTTTCCCTTATAATAACATTCGTAGTTCACTGACAATGATTTTTAAATTTAAAGGTTATAACCCTTCTAGAATGCTTTTTATCCAAGTTCTTAAACCACAAACTTTGATGTGATATTGGTTGGGTTGGTGCCTCAAAGTGAGGCAGCAGCCAAAGTGAAATCTGTAGAAAGCTTCTATATTAAACTGTAATCACACTTTCCATTAAATAAAACTGAGCTCCATGAAACAATGCAGTCTGAAGCCCTAGGGGTAGGAAAGTGACAACTGATATGTTATACAATAGCAATTATGGCAGTCATCACAATGATTAGCTCTGATTCAAAAGACACAAAAATGAAAACTATCAGTGATAATCAACGTGAAGCAGTAACTGCAAGATATATTGCAATAAAAAGAGTAAACAATTAGTAGGTTTTAACAAAACATACGTGATGTAATGTCATCAAAGAGAAATACAGAAAATGGAAAATGTCTTAGTATTTTTAAAACTGAGAAAATTACAGGGGCGCCTGGGTGGTTCAGTTGGTTAAGTGACTGCCTTCGGCTCAGGTCATGATCCTGGAGTCCCTGGATCGAGTCCCGCATCGGGCTCCCTGTTCGGCGGGGAGTCTGCTTCTCCCTCTGACCCTCCCCCCTCTCCTGTGCTCTCTCTCATTCTCTCTATCTCAAATAAATAAATAAAATCTTTAGAAAAAAAAAAACTGAGAAAATTACAGACGGAACCGCTTCTGGGATAATGTCCCTTTGGTCTCTTTTATGAAGACAATATATATTTGGAGGCCACTCACTATATAGATATGTCCATATTGCCTTTTCTCTGACTCATATTCAAGTTTATTTAGTCACTGGAGGGTCATTTGCCTGACCAATGATGAATAAATTTTCACATATATACAGTTCTCTCTATAACAATCTTATTTTGTTACCCAAGAAATTCGGATGCAAAGACCACATATCGTTATAGATACTTCAAATAATCATCCAGGTGCTGTAGGCAGAAGATAAAGAATTAGATGGCATGGTCCCAACACTTAAGAACGGGTTTAAAATCCAGTTGAGAAATTTAGTCTAACACATAAACACACGCAAATAAGAAGACAATATAAAACAGGCTATAAGAAAGTGATAAGTACAAGAACTGATGTAGGAGTTCTAGAAAAAATGAGCTTAATAATGGTTGGGTTACACTTGGAAGGCACTCAATGGAGGGGTGTAACTTGAGTCTCCAAATTGGGTAAGATCTGAATAGGCAGAAGAGAGGGCATCCTGTGTGAAGGGTGTGGTTTGTGGTGCAAGGAGCAAAGCTCTGGAAGTAGATTGTTCAGGGGACATTAAGGATAATTGTGCACTGAAAAATCAAGTAAAATAAGGGTCCCATGGTACAAAGAAGCCAGATTATGAAGTTTTTGCAATCTGACTAGAATTAGGCTTGGAAGAATAAAAAATAAATTCCAAGAATATTTTGGTGAAGAAAATGACTTGCTAAAAGGAGTGTTCACTGACCATTAGTCTGGCAGGATGAATTAAGGAGTTGGGGCACAAGTGAAAGCTGACTGGGAGGTTCCTGGAGTGACTGGATGGTGGTGATGGGAGCTTAGACTGTAGAATAAAGGAAGAATTATAAGAGTGGGCTTTCAAAGGAAAATTCACCAGGACTTGATAACCACTTAACTATAAGAAATGGAGGGGAAAAAATCAGATTTCTCTGTGAAATAGTCAGGAGTTTATAACAATTTTTCCACCAAAGACAAACAGGCAAGTTGTTCCTCACAACTGCTGAGTAATATAGCCCCTCCCAAAGAAGAGTTAGAAAGGGTCTCCCAAACAGGATTTGACTTTGCTGGTTTTAGCAGAGACACAGAGGAAGAAAGGAAGAAAGAAAGACATAGCACCATACCAGAAAGGGAGACCAAGTCTTTTTAAGAAACCGTTCCAAAAAAAAAAAAGACAAGAAAGTTAAATTTCTTACTCTGAGTCTCCACAGTGGGTCTCACTCTGAGTCTCTCCAAAGAGTTTAAGTTTCAAAATCACTGAGTGGCACCTCAAATCAGAGTTCATTGAAGATTAAAAGTTGGATTCGCTTGAATAATTAGGTTTTTTTTTTTAATGGTTTCTCATCTCAGGAATTTCTATTCCACAAATTCCTCTCCAAGTTCTTTCAATTATTACAAATCTGACATCTGTAGATTAAGAACTTGCTTTCTTAAATTCATCAGGCCCATTTGGGGTCTGGGTATGACCAGTTAGCCAGATTCAAAATAAGCGGCACATCCCTCTCCATCAACAGGCGCTTGAAATAGCACACAGCCAACTCCCCAGCCCCTTCCATAGTCGGCCCAGACAGAGCTCAGCCCCACCTCCTCCAGCGAAACGGAAAAGGCGCCTGCGCACACTCCACACGTCTATTCTTCTCGCCACGAACTCCCCCCTCCCCCCTCCCGCCCAAGCTCCTAATGCGCAAGCGCGGCACTCTGCGTTTGAGTAGGACTGTGAAAAATCTGCTGTCCAGTGAAATCTAGAAGTGGTAGAATTCACCTCCCCGCCCCCCCCCGCCTCCTTTCTTCGGAGGCAGAGGTGCCACTTCCTCCTACCCCGAAGCCAGAAGTGCATCCCAAACGTCGCCCTCTCTCGGAGCAAGGTCCTTTGCTCTCTGGCAATGCCCACTGTATCCCTATCCTCAGCTGTTTTTTAACCTCACGCAGCCGCCAGCCTTGGCTCGGATAGTAGAGGGAGTTGGCTCCCCCAAAGCCGCAGCGGGTTGTTGGCAGCCTCTTTAGGCCTCTGAACCTATAAGCCCCCCCACTGGGCAGAGCATTAGCTCCGTGTGTTGCTCATCCTTCTTCGCCCTTCACACCCACCCAGGCTGGGTCCTTACCTCGGGGCGTGGTGCGGTCACAGGAAGGATCGGAGGATCCCGAATCAGGCCAGTGCTGGAGCAGGCAGATTCAGCAAGATTTTTCCTGGGTCTCACTGTCTCCTCAGACAATGAAATCAGCGTGTCCGATCATCAATTCTCATCATGATTGTGACGTCACAAAAGACAGCGACCAATGGGAGCCCGAGATCAGCTCCGGACAGTCCCTGGCCTCAGCCCAGAACCCAGGAGTGGGGAGGGGGGAGGAAAGATAGCTGCCTGCAGTGGGGCTGCCTCTTCCCTGCACATATCAGCTGTGTCCAAGGCCAGGCCTCTCTGTACCTCTCCCTTCCTGAATAGTTCTGGACACCCAGCATCCCTGTGACTATAGTAGTTATATGGCACCATTTGAACAGGTGCTGCCTGGTGTACCAACTTGAGATTCGCTTTCAGCAGAATTGTTGCATGCCAAAATCAAAAGATCACATACAGAAATATAGTCTTTTGTGGTCAGTGTTCAATTGACATGTATATACTCAGTGTTACTAAAATCAAGAAGGACTCCATCAAGCCTTTGGCATTTATCGATAAGAGCAAGTGTACAGTTTTATGTGACCAGTTGACTCTGCGACTAAAACAAGAAATTAAAATTATGAGTTCTGTTCACCTAACCTCAATCCCTGTTCTGCCAGAAGTTACTCGAGTGATCACCATTACACCATTACAGCAAAAAAAAAAAAAAAAAAAAAAACCTCAAGTCATATGTTACATCAGTTAACACTCACTTGATACACTCCCCAAATTTGCTGGGTGCCATGAGAGATGTACAATTTCTTGGTCCTATGCTATTATAGAACTTACCACTCAGAAGACAAGATTAGCACACATTAAACATTCACAACAATAAAATTAAGTACAGTATTAGGTGCTCAATCATCTACTACAGACAAGAGATACATCGTTTAATGACTGGTAATACCAGTGAGGTGATAACAGGGAAGCATTTTATTTTGCAATTGAAACTTGAGATGGTTCTTGAACGGTGGATAAGAGAGGACTGAAAGAACTGTCATAAAGGGGAAGAATAGGCAAAAGTAGGAAAGCATAGATATATATGATATGAGGAAATCCATGATAAAATCAGCCTAGCAAATAGAGGACATATATGAGGACTAGTGGGGAAATAGGATAGGCTGATAATAAAAGTCTTTGAAAGTAGGCAGAGAACTTTGATTTTATTAAAAGCCACTGAAGACCCTAGGGCAGGGTACCTCAAGCCTCTACAGTCATCTACAAAGCAGCTTGAGTGATTTTTTTTTTTTTTGAAAGAAAATCAAATCATGCCCAGCTCCAGATTCTCCAATGACTTACATTCACATATACTATAAAATGCAGATTTCTTACCATAGTCTCAAGGTCCTAAATGATCTGGCCTTTGCCATGTTTATGTTCTCACCTCCTGCCACTCTGCAATTAACTCACTTTCAAATCACATGGGTCTTCTCTCCATTTCTTAAACAAATCTTCTGACCACATCAGGACCCTTACACAGTTGTTCAGTTTGATCTTTGTATGGCCTTACTTCTTCATTTGATTCACATCTCTGCTCAAATGTAACTTCTTTAAAAGTAACCTCTTCAAAATTTTAAAGAAGTTACACTGTAACCCTATTTCAAATTGTGATCTTCTCAACACTTCATCTACCTCCCTATATTCCCTTTCCTGTTTTATTTTTCATAGCACTTATTACTATCTAACATACTTTATATTTTTAGTTATTGCAAATATAAGCTCCATAAGGGCAGGACTTTTGTCTGTCTTATTTATTTTTATATCCCTAGCATCTAGAACAGTCCTGGATATAAGGTAGACAAATCAGTATTTGTTGAACGAATGACTGAAAGCAAATTTTTCAAGTGATTAGTTAGTCATCAATTTGCAGTTTGAATCAGATTGGGGATAGGCTGGAGAAAGAAAGATCAGTTAGACAGTTACCGTGGCAATATAGATTCTAGATAACTTGGGCCTAGATCAGGGTATTAGGAGCAGTAAGAAAGAGAAATTATTAAATTTCAAAGAAAGAATGATTAAGATGAAAATAGAGGATTCAGAGATGGCCCATCTATGATAGAATAACACATTCATCAAGTACTTACTGCATAGCTTTTCTAAATTATTTTTTTAAGGAAGCTCCACATCCAGCATGGAGCCCAATGCAGGGTCTGAACTCACGACCCTGAGATCAAGATCTGAGCTGAAATCAAGAGTTGGAGGCTTAACCAACAGAGCCAACCAGGCATCCTAGTATCTACTGCATATCCTGAACTGAGGTGATTTGAGAGAAAAAGAAAGGCAGGATCCCGACCCTTAAATAATTTATAGTCTGACTGACAAGAGAAGACAAATATGAAACCAGAGTACAAAAAGAGGTTATTAAATTCATCCAGTTGCTCATTCTTTTTTTCCCTTCACACTCTATATCCAAGCCATCCATGAATCCTATAGGTTGTACCTTCAAAATACATCCAAAATCTGAGCACTCCTTACTTCTTCCATTACCACTACAACAGTCAAGGTCACTATCATTTCTAGCTTGAGCCACTGCAAAATCATCTTACGTGGTTTGCCATTGTCTACTACTACCTTCTTTAATACTTTTTCTTAACAGCTGTCAAAATACTCTTTATAAAGTTGAATAGGATCATATTACTCCCCAGCTTAAAGCCCTCCAAATGCTTCCCAACACACTAACAATAAAATCCAAAATCCTTGTTATGGTTTATTTCCTACCACTTCTTTCTGCCCTGGTTCACTATGCTACTCTGGCCTTTTTTCTCCCTCTCTCTTTCTTTTTGGAAATCCTGTTCCTTCTTTGCAGACTTTGCACTTGCTATGCCTTCTTAGAAAACTCTTCTCCCAGATCTTTCTATAGCTTACACTTCACTCAGGTGGCCAGCTAAAGTTTACCTCCTCAGATATGTCTTTATGGACCAATGTATTTAAAATAACATCCCCAAATCACACTACATCCTCTATCCTCTTGCTGTGCATTATTCTTCTCAAATCACTATGGGAAATCACATAATTTGCTTATTTATTTTGCCTTTCCCTAGGTTAGGATTTCATCTCTCTTATTAACCGTTATATCCCCAGTACCAAGAACTGTACCTGGCATGAAACTTTGTTGAATGAATGGATGTAGAAAAGCATAGATTGTGTGGTGTAAGCTAGAGTAATTGGTATTCAGAAGTCAGAGATATTGCTAGTACCATATCATAGGTATCCATCCCTGTTCTGCACACAATGTATCAATTAAAGCCATGTTTATTGAATTTGTGGGTGAAAACAATCTGAGAGGAATAATAATTAAAGCATGGATATTAACCAAGATTTTAAAAATCTCAAAAGACTCAAAATTCAAATTCAGCAAGATCCAATTTGAGAGGGCTGAACAGTTAAGTCTTACTTTTAGGTTTACAAAAATCAACTGCACAAGTTAAGGATGGGCAATAAGCACTTAAGGTGGGAAAACTTTATTTATAAAATGTATAACTTCAATATGAGCTAGTATACCATAGCTGTTAAGAAAGATAATTGAGGGGTACCTGGGTGGCTCAGTCGTTAAGCGTCTGCCTTCGGCTCAGGTCATGATCCCAGGGTCCTGGGATTGAGCCCCGCATCGGGCTCCCTGCTCGGCGGGAAGCCTGCTTCTCCCTCTCCCACTCCCCTTGCTTGTGTTTCCTCTCTCGCTGTGTCTCTCTCTGTCAAATAAATAAATAAAATCTTAAAAAAAAGAAAGAAAACGTTAGCATCTAAAGCAAGAAAGTTAAGAGTCCTACAATCCCAGACCCCGATCAGACAAAATCTGCTTTGTTCAGTTGATAGTCTCTTATTAAAAAAAAAATCATAAATGAACACTACACCAAAAACTAATGATGCACTATATGTTGGCTAACTGAACATAATAAAAAAATCATAAATGGGGGCATCTGGGTGGCTCAGTCAGTTAAGCGTCTGACTCTTGATTTCAGCTCAGGTCATGACTTGGGGTCCTGAGATTGGGCTCTGAGTGGGGCTCCACAGTCAGCATGAGTCTGCTTGGGATTCTCTCCCTCTGCCCCTCCCCACCACTTGTACTCTAAATAAATAAATAACTGAATAACTAACTAAATAAATAAAACCTTTAAAAATTTCATAAATGGCTGTGTCTAGTGAAGAGAGACCAGGAATGATGAAGCATCTTAAAAATATATTATATGAGGCAAGGCTCCAAGAAGTGAGGATGGTTAGTTTAAATCAGGGAAGATCTGGAGAAAATATAACTACCTTCAAATATTTGAAAGACTACCAGGACAAAGAAAGACAGACTTACTGTATGGTTCTCAAAAAGGCAAAACCAAAGCTAAAAACGAGAACTGACAGGGAGATAAGTTTCAACTTAACATTCAAACGTTCAAAAATGACAGGGGCTGCTTTGTAAAGTCAAAAGGCCTCAAATCATTAGGAACGTTCAAGCATAATGACTGTCAATCGGGAACAAAGTCTTAACCATGTTGAGTGACTGCTAAAATCCATTCCAACATGGACTTTACTAATCTTTGGATTGTTTCAGATAGGAATTAGTCCAGAATATGCTTTGAAAGTAGAAGAGGGTTTGGTCTTTTAGAATTTGTTTTGGTGGAGCCGAATGGCAGGGACGTTCTAGGTTGGGGCGCCAGTAGTAAAAGACAAAGAATTCACTGCTCTCAGGTTCTTCAGTAGGTAGAATCCAAATAAAAAAACATTTTTGCAGTACATTTTGGGTCAGTGTCGGGCTGCATACACCAAAGAAAGTGCTTTCAACTTTTATTTTTCCTATTTAAACTTTCCCCATTAATAAGCGATTCATTTCCAGTTCATCTTAACCAAGACACCACTTATTAAAATATGTGAAGCCTGCCTATATAAGCCAAAAACACAGCTATTAACAATATGGCTTGCTAGGATTAAAAAAGGTTTTTAAAAACTAACTTCTAAGCTACTGAACATTAGGTTGATTTCCCTGGTAGAGCTGATCTTCACTAACTAGAGGCGCAATGTTTTGTTTGTTGATTATTGAGTCTCTTCTCTTTCACTTTTTTG